CCCCGGGAAAAAAGCAGGGCCCAACCCCCCAAAACCCCCCCCCCCCCCCCCCCCCGGCTACAGGCCTGGATATGTCGGGAGAAGGGAACAGGAATGCACTATTTTTTTTCATTTTTTACATTTTATGTGTTAATTGTGTGCTCCATTGAGGGGGCAGGAGGCTACATGTATTTGCTCAGGCGAGTGCTTTGGTCATTCCTACTATGATTAACCTATTGCTTAATATATTATCGCTTATGTTGGTTTTCAACTGCGAGAGATTGGGTATTTTTGTATACATGCATTTGCATTTTAATCCTAGGACAACTTCGCTGAGGTTTTTGCTCGAATGAAATTAGGAAGGGGTCGTTATAAGGAGCTTATCTTTGTATTTGTGGCCCATATTTTCAAAACACCACCAAACACAACATAACACTCAACCCCAAAAGGAACATCCATACCGATCATAAAAATCCTTTCATTTGCTGCAGTTTTTCGGCGTGTTTTTAATAACAATAACAGTGTCAAAGGCGTTTATTTTTTCCACGGCTGACCTTAATTGTCTCATTTGCTGATTGGTTGGATAAACCTGCAGTATATTTAGATATCTGATGTGCCACGTTTTACGGACAATTCACAGTTAGTCTGTTTCACTCTCGATCATCACAGGTGAGATGCTGCCACTTACATTTACTAATACTGGAGTCTGGCTGTTTTGGCTTTTGGTGTTGTTTTGTGCTTGTTTAGTGTCTACATTTACTTTTATATGGATTCAAGTATCATATCCACCTACAGATTGTTCAACAAGAGCAGCTTCCATTGGTACAATGTGTAATTGTAATTCCGATTGATGTTTAGTTTGACATACCAGGGTATGTATGTAGTAATAAGTCTATATTTAACAAAATACTAGTGCAGCGCTGTTTTATGATTAATGTTTTCTTTTTGTAATTAGCCCCCTACAAAGCCATTTGAGGTCCATTTCAGAGGATGCGTCATCACCTTGTTACAGTAACAGTACTTGCTACTGTTCTCCTATCTGTAACCTTCACAAGCACTGTCGAAGCTGTTTGCTGTCACGACGCGTTTTTTATATATAACTTTTGCGTTGACTGTTCCGAGGTAAGGTATTTAATTGTATTATTACGAAGCATTATGTCCATCAAATGGCACATGTTATAGTACAACTGTTTACTCCATCCCCACTGAACTTTTTTCAACGCCGTATAGTTGATATTGAAAAAGGCAAAGTTTGTCATTCTTTTTTGTTTTACAGCTCGACGGATTTTTTTGTGGAAAGGGCGGCTGTAACGTATTTGGTTGCGCATGCGTAGGGGGCTGTAAAAAAAACTGTTCCCCTGGGCTGTTTATGATACCGTAAGGGATAATATACATTTTCATGTCATGCTATTATATTAATAGCTTATCACGTCATATCATCTGAAATTTGTGGCTTTTCGAAAATACTGAGTTATTTTAAGGATATAATATCAGAAATCAATGTTTCTTCCTTTATAGGTATATCCATGAGATTTATCCGCCAAAATGGATTTTCTCGGGAAAATAAGCAATTTTCCAAGGAAAATTGTATTCATTCATCTATATCTCTGTGCATTTAGATTCTACAATTGATAAACTTTATAAAGAATGATCTAAGTTTAAAATGATCGGCCAGGCATTATAACAGTGGCAATTTTCCTATAAGCTCTAATGATAATATTAATACCAGGTGCACCCCAGAAAAAAATATCTAAGGGGTTTATAGATATTTTGAAGGTGTATGTAAGCTTTTATAAGAAGTATTGAATGGCAAAAAGAGCCGTTTTGGAGATTTTCAGACTCATGGAGTATACCTTTAATGGTTCAGTAACAACGTGGACAAGAAATCAGAATAAATTGTCAACCTCTTTAAAACCAACAGCATATGGTAATTATACGAAAATTCTAAATTCTCAGAGGGAAAACCTCATCAGTATGCCTATGTCAAAACAAACGAGCCTTGGCAGACGATGGTGACAAAAGCAGCACCGGAGATATTTTCATTAAAAGTGTGACAGGCAGGTAAGTCGATAAGCACCGGCATAAAACGGGCACCTGCTTTATTCAGCAAAGACAGTGGTTTTCATATTAACAGCATAATAATAAAAACTTGATTTTGTCTTAGTTCACAAAATATGTTGCCTGCATTGATTTGATGGCGGAGAAGAGAGAACGATTTTTCAGTATAGTTGTTTCTAACCTCGCTTTTGGCATTTTAAAATACTGAAAGGTAAAATATACTGACCCTGTTTAAGTGCGTTTAGTTTAACCGATATAGCCATGTTTTACATAATTACTGCAGTAGAAGATTAGAATGTTTTGAAAACTAGCAGTTTACTTAATCACATGCACGTGGTTACTATGCAACAAGTAATAAACAATGGTGGTTTTTCAGAGAGTAATGACGTCATATCCATGGCCGCGTTCAAAGAAATCATAGAAGTGTACCACAGTGTCTAAAATGGCCACAGAGTTTGATATTATAAGCCATTGCAACGTTGGATTGATAGCACCGGAATAAATAGACATATTATTAAAATATAAAAATTACTATTTATCCATCTTTGTTTTTTAAGCAGCATTAGGCAAATATGCAAAACTTGCAATTTGGTTGCCGCCATTTTGAGGATTGAGAATTAAAAAAATTGCAAAAATTTGTGTTTAAAAATATTTTTGATTATAAAAATTCAAAATATGTACTTTTTAATTTTATATTATGATTATATTATTTAATAGATGACTTTGACCAGTCTATGAAAAATATTTCTTTAAAATGGC